ACCGCCCCTGCCCTTCCCGTCCACCCGCCGTGACAGGGAGCCCACGGGAGGGGGCGTGGACAGAACCTCCGGCCAGGGGGAGGAGCCAGGCCTGAAGTGTGGGCGGGGCCAGAGAGAAAGAGAGAGAGAGAGAGAGAGAGAGAGATCGCGCCCCAAACGGACGTGGCGGGAGCGCCTCGCCGGCCCCTTGCTCCGCCAAAGCTGAGCTGAAAGGCCCGAACCGAAAGGAAGGGAAAGAGCGCGGCCCCCTTCGTTCTCTTTTCCCCATTGAGTTGCCCGGCGCTAGGATGGCCTTGCCTTGAGCAGCCGCCGCCGCCGCCGCCCCTCCCCCCGTCCCGCTTCCTCTGGAGAACTAGAACGAGAGTGGTCTTAATTGACTAGATATGCGGGATATAAATAAAATTAAAAATTAAAAACAAATGAAGGCTTCCCGACCCGGCCCATCCCTTCTGTCTGGGAATCCGTCCCACTTGAGCTCGGGGCAGTTTCACACAAGCAAAGCGCGCGTTCGAGATCGGGGCCTGCTCGGTCCTTGGCCGGGGGTGGGGGAGGCGAGAGTAGAAAACGTTTGAATTGGCCGGTCTTGGCGGGAAAGGGGTGGCCGCGGCGGGAGAGGGAGCGGACAAGAGGGAGAGGAAGCCCGAAGTCAGGCCTGCCGGGCCTGAGGCACTGGCTCCCGAGTAAGCCCCACCGCCTTAAGCGCGGCCTTGCAACTCCTGCGGAGTTCGGCAGGGCTGGCTCTCCTGATCGATCCTCAAATACGGGTTCTTGGGGCGCAAACGCCAAGCGAACTGGCTTGAAACCCTTAATTGGCAAGGGCAACTCATGGAAGGGAGGGGAAATACGAAAGCGGGGCGCGGGGGGGGCGGAGAGCCTGACTGAGCTGCGAGGCCTCCCTCCTCCTCCCTCTCTGCCTTGGCGGGCGTCCAAGAGGCGAGGGATGGGGCCGGGGCCGGGCGAGCGCTTTCCTTTCCCCCCCCCCCGTCCCCTTTCCCCCCCTCCCGCCGGCGGCGG